CCAAAGAGTCAGGGTGTGAGGGGGCTCCCAGAGTCAGGCTGCAGGGGGCCCTTTTGGGCACTGGGCCCCAAGTATAAGTCCCCTTGTTCCAGTGCCCGATTCTCACTGTGAATGTTTGAGTCTTTCTCGCGAGTCAATGTCTCTGTCGAGCCGTCAGGCACAACACAACCTTCATACTCTTGTTACAATTGGCAGTAATTATATATGCACTCATGAACTTATCACTTTTATATCTGTTTGTTTTTTATGTATTAGTAAACTGTTTGGTTGTTATTTTAATAAGAATAGTTTAAAATTATATAACAAGAATATTGGCATGTTGTAGTTAATATGCCATTGAAGCCATGAATTCCTAGAACTTTGTTATTTTTCAGAACTTTAATAGCATCCAACTTCCTCTAAAGTTGCAAGTCTCTGAAATTTCAAAGCTATCCTCATATGCTAACCAAGGGTACGGTATAACCTTCTAAATTTGGAGGATTATAATGCAGGGTTTTGAAGGGAGAAAGGAGGAGGATGAGACACCATCAAGATGCTTCCTATCTTAAAATTTCCTCCCCAGGAATGTATGATATAATGGGCAGGAAACCAATAAAATCAACATTTGAAACTGGAAGATGACTCAGTGGAGGTCAAAGTCATTTTGAGAGACTACACAGCCTCCATCTTCCCACCTCATGATCTAGGCTACTGTAGGTAGTCCTGGTGGACAAAAGCTGACCGAGGTTTAACTGCTGTTAAGTCAATCCTGTCAGCTACATGAACATCAACTTGGCTATCTGAAGGAGCATCTCCGTTTCTATATGCCTGCCCACCCCTTAACATCTTGGTCAGAGATCCTTCTCCAGGAGCCCTCAGTGAAGGAAATTAGGAGGGTCGCTATCTGGAGAAGGGCCTTTTCTGCGGTGGTGCCCTGGTTATGGAATACACTCCCCAGAGAGGTTCACCTGGTACTGACACTTTATTCTTTTCAGCATCAGGCCAAAACCTTTTTATTTTCCCAGTATTTTAAGGTTTAGATTGAGATTTTAAGTGGGTTTTTATTGTATAGAATGGCTGCTGTGCTCCACTTTATTTTATTGTAAGACTGTCCCAAGACCATTTGGTAGTGGACAATATACAAAAGTTTTAAATAAATGCTCAAGATACATGGTCTGCTATTTTTGATCTTTTCTGTTTGTAATTCAAACAGCACTTAGATGCTCTTAGGCTGTACTTAACTAGCTCTGTGTACACATTCTGATTTGCCAGCTTCCAGAGTATTAGCCTGTTACAGCAAACCGCCGCCCCCCCAAAAAAACCCTTAGTGTTGTTTTATTTATCATGGCAATTACTCATTTTAGGTACTAAAATCCACTTCATGCGCATGGTAGATACACACATGATCAGTGAGGTCAGAAGGAAGCTCTCATTTTCTATCCTACTCCTATGGACATTCTCCTTGGAAAGTGACTCCTGATGGGTCCAGACCAGATTTTGGATGATAATGTCTGCCTGCTTTTAGAAAGAACATTAAAATAGCTGCACAATGTTTTCTATGTATTGGGTCTTAAAGGTAGCATTGCTTCTAAAACAGCATTTCAAGAATTCTAAATTCATGTGAAAGGGAGGAATGTGCATATGTTGAGAGCTGGAACAGGAATGGATGTGGCAGACAGAGAAAAGGTGATCACAGCCACAGCCTTGAGATGGCAAGAGTAATAAAGAAGCTCTGAGGGGGAGGTGTGCAAAAGAGCAGTGCAGGAGGCACACTCAGTTTTGTCCTTGTTTCTCCTATGCAGAGAGGAGTCAGGATAGCACTGCGGTGGTGCTCTCCGATTCCAACTCTACACAAGACCTGTTCACTGAACTTGCCAGCTCCCATGACAGTGGGAAGAAGCCTTTTCCAGAGAGGAGGCCGTGTGTCTCATGTTCAGAAACCACCACTTCTGGGAAAGAGACTTTAGGTCCTGCAGAGGAAAGCGGTATGTCATTTCTAAGCTAGGATTCCAAATTGCCTGTTTGTGCATGAGAAAGTAGCAAGGCTTAAGCCATTGGAGTGAGCACACTCTTGTTTCTGGCAGCAAGCAGAAAAAGATGGCAAAAGCTGAGCCAGCCTGGATGCCAGCTGAGCAGCTCAGGGGCTTGCTGCTAGATTTGGAGGGAGATGGCAGCATTGCACCTTGCAGCTGGTGCACTTGGCCTGCAGTACTTGGCTGCTCCACTGTGAGCAGAGAACAAGAAGGCCAGGAATTAATTGTGATGGTATTCACTTCCTTTTGCAATCCTGTGTTATGTTCAAAGTTTTGGAATGATTTGTCACATATATGAATGTAAAGGTAATGCTGATGCTGTGTGTGGATGTTGATACTTCTAGGGAAGTCAGAAGACCCATTGGAGAATTCAGAGTCTTGTCATACATCTGACCCAAAACTTGATCTGCAGACACAGTCTAGCATTCTCTCCAAGGCCTCACTTCACTCCCTTTCCCAGTGGGACTCAAAAAGACAAGCCGAACCCTGCACAGACCCATTTCCCCAGAGCCTTCCAGATGATCTAGAGGAGCAACGTCACGTCCTGACAGAGCACTGCATCACCTCCTTTCATCTATGCCTCAGCCGTTTCCCTCAGCACTACAAGAGTCTCTACAGATTGGCCTACCTTTATGCATACAGCACAACACATAAGGTAAGGATGAGCTTAGGGAATAAAACAGCAGGTGATCTGCCCAGGAAACGAGAAACACTCTTTGGCCAGGGATGGAGGCACAGGCATTGCTTCCTTCCCACTGCAAGGTTGCCCTTGTCTCGTCACAGCCTGAGCTTGGCGGGGGCAAGCTCCAAGATTCTGCACGTAGAATCCAGGAACACAGTCTGGCTGATGGCACCTGAATTAGCACCTGAAGCCTGATCTCTTATCATCCACAGCAGTCGTCTTTTATGCTCTGCTCCCAGACTTACAGAGCAGTTGTCCTCTTGTACTGAGGATGTTCATGATGGGGGAGTGGAGGTATTACAGCCATTTTGAGGGTAATGTGCCTATAGAAGCAGTAAATCATATTGGAACGTTCAAAATACTTGTGAGAAGAATATTTATGTATATTGAAACAATATTGCAGTGTTTGATCTTTCAGAAAACAGAGATGGGTTTTGACTGTGTCGTGAGAATCTAGCATCCAAAATACTGTTCCAGACATTAACTGTGTCACTGCCAGGTGCTGGTCCAGCCCATCAGGAGCCCGGGTTGAAAGAGGAGGCAAAGTCCCTTTCTCTCAGGAGGGGCTCATCCTACCAGTCTTATTAGCTAAAACCCAGCCTTCCCCATTGGTGCTATTAAGTAAGTTGCCATATTGACTGGGGATGTTCCCAGACATCCTGTTTCTGAGGAAAGAAAGCTGTAGTCATAAAATACTGACAAATGTTTCAGCTTTGTGGAGGGAAATGACACACTTGTGCAAATAGGTGTGTGTGGAAGACACAGTGCCTGGAATGGCTGGCCAGAAATCGAGAGGGAGGCAGGTAATCCAGTTGGGGTGCTGAAAATGAGGCAAAAGGGGGCAGCTGTGATAACCAGCCCACTACACCTTCCTCTCCCAACTCACCACTCTGCTTCACTGTCCTACACAGAATCTTCAGTGGGCTCGAGATGTGTTACTAGGCAGCAGTATCCCATGGCAGCAACTGAAGCACATGCCAGCACAAGGCCTCTTCTGTGAGAGGAACAAGACAAATTTCTTCAATGTAAGTTGTTTGCATGATGCCTAAAGCAGGACTGCTTCTTGATTTCACATCTTCTTTCAGCCTAGAGGCATTGCTGAAATACAACCTTGGATCAAACATTTTAATAGAGAGCAAATTTAAATTTGCAGTGGAGCAAGATGTATATACTGCAGTCTAATGAGAAATACTTAACAAAGGTCAACTTGCTTTCCTACAAGGGCACAAGTGATCTTGCAAAGGCTTCTGACATCTATCCTATACACTACCTAGCCCATGAACAGCATCTTTAGAAAGTCAGGTCTGACAGCTGCTTGGCAGCCAGAGATGATGTTTTTGCAAGTTCTCTGCCAGGCCAAATTAACCCAGTTTGCAGCACTTTCTCACTCTGCCCCCAGTCTATGATGTGCAGAGGATTTCATGTTCGATTCGCTGACTCCTGGGACTCCCAGGGGGGATCTGCCCTTCATACTGAAGAAAGGTGGACAGCCTTTTCAGGGGAAGGGACTTTAGAGAAGGTGCCAGGTCCAGGTCCAACAGGATCTTGAGGTTGGGCTGGAAAAATTTCTGCCCGAAATTACATAGAACCAATGTGTGTTGAAAATACTGAGCCAGATGCACTGAGGGTCTGACATAAAAAGCAGCTCCCTTTTTTGCTGTTTATTCAAACTATATGTCAGCTTTTCTTCCTGACAGCACATAACCAATACAGTTTAAAATAAATGAAGACTAATGCACAATTAAAAGGGATGCACACAGAATAGATTCACTTTGGAATCTATTTCAGCCAGATGTTCCTTTAGCAACTTGGATTGATATCCCACTTTGATCCAGATCTGAAGTTGAAGCTTCACTAAGAAAATCCCAACTCTTCTCCCCATCAACTATAAAGAAGCCGCCAATAAAAAATTGTGCTATTTTTAAATAGAATTGGATTAAATTTGGAGAGATGTTACCCGCTTTGGTGGGCATGAAGTTTACTGAGTTGCAGACAAACAGGTGCAGGGGAGCAGTTGTACAATGTTATCAAGGGGACTTGACCAGCACTAGCTAGGTCTGTTTGTGCATTGCACAAATCCAAGTCATTTTCCTCACTGTCAGAGCAATAGGGCAGTGGAATAAGCTGCCTGGAGAGGTGGTGGGCTCTCCCACCCTAGAGACATTCAAGGTGAAACTGGACAGCCATCTGAGTGGGATAGTGTAACTTGGTGTCCTGCAACAGCAGGGGGTTGGACCCGATGGCCTTCATGGCCCCTTCCAACTTTACTATTCTGTGATTCTATGAATACATGCAGAGTGAGCCTGACCAAAGCAGAGGCTGGATTGCTAATCTGGCTGGCTGGCATTGCTACATGTGAGCTTTCTGAAACTGGGGAAAATGCTGTCTGCATCTCTAGCTAGTCCTGTGGTTGGGCATTCAGTGATGTCAAGAACATAGCCATGTCACTTGATGTTATCTGGTCTGTGGAGGCCTGGATGGCCGTTTCGCTCCCCAACCCCAAAAATGTTATCTACCACTGCTTTAAGGTTTGGAGTTTGCTTTAAAGAGATCCCCTCCTTGACATTTTGTGATCCCTTCTGCGCTGTATAGATTATACAGTCCGTATAATCTTCAAGCTATCTTGAAAGATTTAAGACTGTCCCTGGGGAAAAATTGCCCCTGATTTTGCCCTGTGGGATGGGGCCTCTACTCTTGGGTAGGGGACTTTTCCAGGGAGCTAGGGAAACCATATACCTGCCCACTTTCCAGGCCTTTGCTATGCTGCTATATTTGTATATTATTCTTGTATCAGTGACTACCAAGAGGGGCTAATTATAGATGGCATTGAGAAAGGCCAAAGAATGGGGAGGAATGAGAATTTGCTTATATATGGAGAGCAATCCTGTGGCCTGATCCCTTAAATGTAAGTACACTAAAATTAGTGTGGGAAAGGTGGGTGAGCCATGGAGTGTGGGCCAGTGCGAGCTTTCCAGAGTTGCTCTGCTTGGGGAAGTGCCAGTGCCAAACTGCACTTGCACCTTGCAGAGCCTCCCTGGGGCAAGGCTGTAGTGGCAAGCGCTGGGGAGGCTCATGGACAGAGAGAGCCACAAGTGCTGAAGTCGTGATGCACGTCTCCAGAATGCAGCATCAGGAGAAGTCTCGGCTCAAGTTGTTTCTTGGGCTCCAGGTCTATGTGGAAACATCCTGGTTGGATTTGGCAGGTAACATCACCAAAATGCTTCTGTTCCTTTCTTAACGGGCTGGCAGACGTTGAATGGAGCAAGGGATGGCCTTCCGCTTACTCTTGGGAGAAAGAAGCATCCTTCCTAAAATAGTGTCCTAAAAGGAAACGCGAGCGGTTCGGAGTTGCGCGGCGTCCCCGGGGCCGGGCGCGGCCCAGCCCGACTGCAACTTGCCGTCCCGGCGGAGGCAGGCACAGGCTGGAGGCGGCCGCACTCTCGGGGACGGGAACTGGCAGGCGAAGGGCGGCGAGAAGTGCCGTGGGCACCGAGGCTTCCGTCTGGCTCTGAGCTGGCGCGAGGCCGCGGGGCGCCGCGTCGAGGGCGCGCGGCTTGGGGCTCCGGCGCGTGGGTGCCGAGAGAGCGCCGCCCGGCCGGGCTTCCCCGCCCCGCCGCCCGCCCAGCTGGGTCGCTCGGCGGCACGTGACGGACGCCGCTGGAAGGAGCCGAGCGCTCACGGCCATGGCCAGCCCGCCGCCGGGGGGGCCTGCGGGGACCTCCCCGGCTCGCCAGCGCCCGCGCCAGCGCGGGGGAACTCCCCTCGGGGCGGGCACCGCCGCCATCGCCGGAGTGCGCAGCCGCCCAACATGGTGAGCGAGCGGGGGGAGGAACGGTTGCGCTCCCCGGCCGGAGGGGAGGCCGCCCCGAGGGGCTTGCTTCGCTGGCTCGGCCTCCCAGCTCTCTCCGAACAGCGCGCGGGAAGCCCTGGGAGGGAGGGGGGAGCCCGGGAGCTCCTTGCGACCGGCCGGGCGGCCGCGGCAGCCAGGCTTCCGAGACGATCTCCTCCTGGTCTGCGGAGGCTTCGCGCGCGTCTTGGCGCCCCCTCCCAGCGACGGACGCCGGCGGGACGCACCCCGGAAGCCGGCCCCGCGGCCTTCATCGGGACTCGCCTTCCCGCGGAGCTCCGGCATCTCCTGGGTGGCTTCCAGCCCCCCCCCCCCCCGCTTCCCGGGAAGCGCTGCCGGCGAAGGCCCGCACCGCTCCGGACGACTTGCTCCTCCGTGCGGCAGGCAGCGAGCGTCCCGAGGTGCAGAGGGCTGCAGCACCGGACAGAGGAGCGAGCCGATTGGATGGCGCTGGATCATGGATGCGAGGAGGAGAAGACCCTAGTCTTAGCAGGGGGAACCGCGGCATGGCCAGAGAGCACTCTCGAGTTGCTTAGGCTGTCCCAGCTTAGGGAGAGGCCTTTCTCCAGGGCTCTTTCTAGGTCTCCATGGAGCCGTTCCTGGACCCCAAATGCTTATACCACAAACCTGTTGATCCCTCGTTCATTTGGGGATCCTGACAGTCTCCTGTTCCCTTGGGGTCTGGCCATCCCAAGCACAGCCAGGTGTTGGCCATCAGGAAGTAAACATAAAGCCAGGTGCTTGCTTACTCCGTGGCTATCTGTGTCCCTACTTCCCTTGTTTCAGAAGCAAAAGTCAAGCTCATGAGAATGGTTTCCTGCTCTTTATGTTTAATGTGATGCAAAAGGTGGGAGGGAGGAGCACAGTCTTGTTCTCTAAATCACATTATCTACCAAGCAAGATAAGTGGAGGAGGACATAGTTGTCCCACAGCTTCTTCCTAGCGATACCAGAAGGCAAACAGCTGGAGGTTCCCCTGGATCAGCTTTCCCCTTGATGAAAGGCATGTCCTAGATAAAGAGAAGCTCAGCAGACTGTGGTGGTCTGTTGGAAGAAGTGTTCCACAAAACCTCACATGTTAGCTTGAAGGACCTAAATGTGTTGGATTTCCTTTTTTGGTGAAAAGCGCCTCCAGGAGCTTGTAAGTGAGAAAAGGGGCTGCTTGGGGTGGGACTTTCAACCCATAAAGATGGAAAGGGTTAAAGGACTCTCACGTTGTTTTCTCTGGTCTGCAGCCTCCTACAGTTGCTTTTTGTATTTGTATTATTTTTTTTCTTAAATAGGTAGCTTACTGGTTGCTAGTCCTTAATTAAATATAGAAAATTCAAAGTGTTTTTTTGCTCTTCAAAGAGAAAAGCATTTCCCTTTCCAAATCAAGGTAACTTATGTCCACTTTTTTCTTACTGGAACAATCCTTTGAGGTGGATTAGACTGAGTAAGTGATTGGCCTACAGTCACCCAGTGAGCTTCATGGCTCTGTGGGGACAAGAACCCAAATCTCCCAGATCCCCAGTCTGACATTCTCACCACTGCACTACAGTGGCTAAACACTGACCTTGCTCTTCTCAAGACTGGATGTTGTAGTGTACACTGCTTTGGGCTATCTTGGTCCAAAAGCTATTGACAGAATGTTAAAAAAGGTAAAGGTTAAGTCCAGTCATGCCTGACTCTTCGGGGCAGTGCTCATCTCTGTTTCCTAGCCAAGGGAGCCAGCATTTGTCTGCAGACAATCTCCGTGGTCATGTGGCTGGCATGACTAAACACCGAGGTTACCTTCCTACTGAAGTGGTACCTTTTCATCTACTTGCATTTGCATGCTTTCGAACTGCAAGGTTGGCAGGAGCTGGGCCGGAGCAACTGGAACTCACCTCGTTGTGCAGATTCGAACCGCCAACCTTTCAATCAACCAGCCCAACAGCACAGCAGTTTAAACCACTGCACCACCTGCATCCCTTGACAGAATGTTACATGTCTGCTAAAACAATTGCACTGATTATTAGAAAGTTACTGGGCCAAGTTTAAGGTTTTGTTGTCAAGAAAGCTCTTAAAAACTTCAGACCTTGTTACTTTCATTAGTGCCTCTTTCCTTATGGCCTTGCTTGAACTTTGAATCTGGGAAAATTGATTGCAAAGGATTGGGAACACATTTATATATTTATTTAGAAAATTTCTATACCGCCCCATTCACCGAAGCCTCGGGGCAGCTCACAAAACATCAATTAAAATATAATACACTAAAAATATAAAACAAATTAACAATATAAAATAAGTCGCCCTGGCCAAAGAATAAAATAAGCAAATAATAATATGTTATAATAATAATAATAATATTAGCAATTAAAATGATGTTTGAATAAAAAGGTCTTCGCCTGGCGTCGATCTCTTCCCAATCCTTTTTCCTTTCCAGCAGACTTAAATGAAACCTTAGAAGCACAATCCTTCAATAGGTCTACAGGTTTACAATAGCATAGATCATAGTAACCATCCCTTTTATGTGTGGGAGTAGCATCTGCTCTTATAAAGTGTTGCATCCAAACAGGAGCAGTTCCCTTCTTCCCTCATTTTTGGACAGGACTTCATTCCACCCTCAGGGTGGCTCATGGATAGTGCAAAATTAATCCACTCTCTATGCCTATTGCCTCTTGATAAGGTTTAAGAACTCCCCTTCAATTTCTACTCTTTGCTGTTCTCTGGCCTCCCTCTTCTGCTCCAAGAAGTTCTCCCCTGCAGAGGAAGGCAGGATGCACTCAGGAAACCAAGGTTCCATTTAGATGCCAGGAAGTCGGGACCCCAGCGGTATGGAATGGGCTTCCACGGGAGGTGGTTGAGGCCCCAGCAATGAGGGTGTTCAAAGATAGGCTAGACATGCACATGGTAGGCATGTCATGAGCGGAGCTGGCTGGAGCCGGGGGTCAGACTGGGTGGCCCAGGAGACCCCTTCTGTCTTGCTCTGTTTCTATGTTTCTAAGATGGTTTGGGTCCCATGTTCTGTTTGGGTCCCATGATCGCTGACCTAGTGCCATTGACAGTTCAGAAACCTCTGCTAATTCCTGTTCATCTTCTCCAGCTCTGGGAGGACTGGGCCTTCTCTCTGCCCAATCACCAGAAGGAGCACCATTTGAAGATGCCACAAGTTCATCTCAGCAGTGCTACTAATAGAGCATTTAGTATTGTGGCACCTGCCCTCTGGAAAGTTTCCCATTGAGATTAGATAGGCATCTGCAGTTTTCCTGCACTGTACCCAACCAATTACAGTTGCATTGTTCTTCAGTAGTTACTGTTACATTTTATTATATTTTAGGATGTGCCATGTTCATTGCTTAGGAAATTTTTTGAGAAGAGGCAAGTATTTTCGTGAAATAAGAAAATGTATGCAGAGCTCAGGGAACCAAGATTCAAGGTGGATGCCAGGAAGTCCTTCCTGATAGTTAGGACCCCTAGGGTTGAAGCCCCATCGGTGAGGGTATTTAAGAATAGACTGGACATGCACATGGTAGGCATGTCATGAGTGGACCTGACTGGAGCCAGGGGTCAGAATAGATGTCCTGGGAGGCCCCTTCTGAGTTGCTGTTTCTGTATAAATGAACAAAGACAGGTGACTGAGGCCAGGCTCTGCCCAGGGTCACAGCTAACAATCCATCCCATTGCTATCCTGCCAAGATAGGTTCAAAACAATCACTGCTTCACATGGGTTAGATGAAAGGTGAGGTAGAATTGGGCAACATTTACATAGTAGTGATATCACAGTTCATAGCTCCCCACAGCACACCCATGTCTGTTACCACTAAATGTGGGTTCCTCCTCCTGGTTTTTGTGCAGGGAATCTGGCGCATCCCCGTGGATGAAATTGATCGTCCGGGTAGTTTTGCCTCTCACATGAACCGCTCCATCGTCCTTCTGCTGAACGTGTTGCTACAGCTCAAGGATTACAACACCCTGCTGAAAGTCTCATCTATGTTGCAAAGGACCCCTGATCAGGGAAAGTAAGAGCCTGGGGTTTTTACTTTCACTTGGGACTGTCTTGAATTGAAACTGGTAAGATACATCTGCCAACTCTGCCTCTGTCCATGACTTTTTTAAAATAGAAAGTCTCCAGCTGACACTTCTAGCACACAGAGGAAAATTCTCTGGATAAAGACTTAAGACTTGTCCCTTGCTTAAACTAGATGTTGGAAAGACTAAGGCAATGAGCCAGTGTGGTGTAGTGGTGAAGAGCATGGGACTGGGACTCAGACGATCTGGGTTCTAGTCCCCACTCAGCCATGGAGCCCACTGGGTGACTTTGGGCCAGTCACAGACTCTCAGCCCAACCTACCTCACAGGGTTGTTGTTGTGGGGATGAGATGGAGGAGGAGAATGATGTAAGCTGCCTTGAGCCCTTTGTAGGAAAAAGGCAGGCTATAAATCGGAAAAAAATTGGAAAAATGATAGCAAGGTTGACATGCTTGTAAGTCTGAGGGCATGAGAAAAGTGCAGGGTTCACACAGCAGTGAGCCTTAAATCCATGGCCATGAACATGACATACCAAGGGATGCGCATTTCAGGGTTGTTTTGTTTTTAAACATATTTTTAATACATTTAGATTTGTTTGTGGTGTTGAATTCTGCAGTAACTCTTTCAGGTATTAAGGGCAGATTTCCCGAATGGGTGCATAATTTTTCAGCCCGTATCACTTGAAATGAGAGCAGATTACTAGGCTGAGACACAGAGTTGTGTGCTTGCCCCCTCAGGGAAATGGGCCTGTTCCTGGATGTCATTGAGCATGACTTTATGCAGACAAAACAAACACACTTTGTCCAGGCCCAGCAGTTGTTCCTGTTCGCAACAGCTTTGTTGTATCAGATGAAGGACCACAGGTTGGCTTAAAAAAAAGAAAGAAACTTCAGGGTGGTTTTTGGAGAGAGAGAGCCAGCAATGCCTGCAATGATAAATATAATTTCTTCTTCGTGGTCTGTGTGCATGCTCAGTGCCTGTAGCCGGGTAGAATACAAAAGCTTTAACAGATTTTGGAGGGAACTCCGCACTCCTCCCCCGCAGTGCTATAAAGGGTGGTGCGCCTGCCATTTTCCCCAGTCTTCTTTCGACCGCCAATCGCTTTGCCTCGAGCCATTCGTTATCTTCTATTACATTCTCTTGCTCTTTGTTCTAATTGCTGTTTCTCTTGCTCTTCTAGTTAAGAAAATCCTTTTCCAAGTTTTAACATCCTCACCTTCCCTAGTTAAACAATCTTTTTCTTATCCCCACAAAAATTATACTCCTTACCTTTTTGCTATCTTCTCACTTTGCTCCATTTTTTGCTATCTGCTTTTCTCAATGGCTCAGCGCGCGGCCTTTCGAAAGTGCTCTAGGTGTGGGGTCAAAATGTCTCCGACTGACCCACACAAGCTTTGGCTCCTATGCTTGGGAGGACATCGCACTGTCAAATACGGCCATTGTCAGTTGTTCACCAAGCAAGCTCGAAAAAATCGGGAAAATTGGCTGAGGAAGATCCCTTGGGATCAGGCCCTCATAGCCTCAGATGAGCTCGCCGCTCAGGCTGCTCCAGCGGGCCTGCCCATGGTGACCTCCCCTCGTCCACCATCTGAGGGATCTGCTTCCAGGGAGACCACTCACTCCTCCCATTCCTCCTCTCTGAAACAAAAGGAGAAACGGAAGCACACCGGGCAAGGGGATCCGTCGGTCCCAAAGAAGGCTAAGAAAGACAAGACCAACAAAGCCAGCCGCAAGCAGTGTAGGCTTGCCCAGGAGCCGCAGCAGGACTCGGGTTAGACTGCACCCTCGATCCCGACACCACAGGCTGTAATGCAGGTTATGCCGCCTGGATCCCCCCAGCGGGTCACGCTACCAGCTCCTACGGCATTGGATCCCTCCAAGGCCATGCTCCATGGATGTCATGCCTAACAACTCGGAGACGTTGTTAGCACACGTAAGAGAGCCAGAAGCTTCCAGCAAGAGTCAGGCTTTAGAGCAAGAAGATTTCTACTTGGTGCCCATAGCACAAATGCCCCCCCCCGGCAACCTGATTTGGACGAAGTTTTTGTCCAGCCTTTAGACCACGTTCTTCAGAGAGATAACATTCCTGAGCAGACCGTGAGACAGCCCATTGCCATGGAGAATGCCCAGCTGAGGAGAAGACTTCGGCATTTGAGCCAATTAGAAGAGAGGCAAAGTCAAAGAAGGAGGGAGAGGAGTTTATCTAACCCTTGTGGGGACAGGTGTTCCCATTGGGTTAAGAGTGCGTCATAAATCTGAGATAGGTCAGAAAGGAGAGGGCAACTGTGTTGCTTAGAACTACCATTAACGGCTCCTGTATTATGCATTGCCTGTGTATCTTTGAAGTTGTTTAGAATAAAAGGCTTTATTACCTGTACCTGTGTGAGTAATTAAGAAGAGTGCTTCTGCTTCACAACAATGGATCAATATCCGATGGAGAAATTCGGGATTCACTGCCCTGGTCTCTACCGAGCCATCAACCAGCTCGATCACCAACTCTGATGCCATCATCGCCAGAGACATCCCCGAGGCCCCTGCTGCCATCCAATCCACATCACCACCAACGCACCTCGGGCCAATCCACCATGATCTGGATCCCGATGCTGTACAGCGGATTCGAGCCACTTTGGCCCCATCACTGGGACTACCAACCACCATACGGCTACTACCTCTTGCTGCCGGAGCGCAGACACCGATCCCATCCCTCCAGGATGGAAGCACCCTTCAGCTTGGCGGCTGCAACTTCCCGCCCTCCTCCGTCTCCGGTCGACTCGTCGTCTAGTCCACCTTACCATTACGATTCGGATCTGAGGACTCGGACCAGCTCTCCACAGCTCCAGATGCTGTCATCTTGACTCAGCGACCTGGGTTGCCAGAAGAGTCCTACGCCACCTTCGGAGAGCTCAGGGCTTGTCTCACCCGGTCATTGGAGATTGAGATGGAACACTGGGCAAATACCAGCAATGACCATTTCTACAACATCGTTTGTAAGGAATATTCATTCACCATCTCCATCCCGTTCATAACGACTCTTCGCCAGGCTGTGACAGACACCTGGGAGTTTCCGAGCCAGTCACACCTGATGTCCCGGAGATACAAATCAATGTACAATGTTAGGGAGCAGGACATCCCATTCCTGCTGAAACACCCGAAACCTAACTTGATTGTGGTCGAGTCGTCTCAGGGGCGAGATAACAGAGAGCACTCGATCCCAAGAGACAAAGAGGGCCAGAAGATAGATATGATGGCACGCCGCATCTACGTGGTTATGGGGCTAGGCCTCCAGATTTCAGACTATGAGGCAATGATGGCCAGATATCAGTGCTTTCTGATGCAATGGCTGGAATCCATCACCTCCACTATTCCAGAACAGCAGTGTGACCTGGCCTGCATTTTTATCCGAAAGCCTATGCAACTAGCCATCCGACAGCTCAGCACAGTGCTCCATCACGTCGATTGCGACTCTCGTGCTCTCATTGGATCCATCACCTTACGTCGGCACGTGTGGCTACTCTCCTGCAACTTCCCAGATGAGACTAAGAGGCATATTGAGGGCATGCTTTTCGATGGTTCTGGCCTCTTCCACGACCGCATGGACCATAAGCTCAAGCACATTTACAACGCCCGAGCCACCGCATGGAAGATGTAAATACCGAATTCCAACTGATGTAAGTGGCTGCAATCTCGCTACCCTCGATACCAACCGTACCACCTTTACCAGCCACGCCAGCAATATCAGCCACGCCAGCAACACAACCGAGGCCAGCCTGCTGGACAGTTCCAACAAGGTCAACATCGTCAACCCAACGACAAGCGGCAGTGTTGACGAGGCACGCGAGCTGATCTTTTCTCCTCCCATCCCCCTCTCCCATTTGGGAACCGGCTGCAAGACCGGCTCCCCATCTGGGAGTCCATCACATCTGATAAGTGGGTGCTTTCCATCATTGAGCATGGATATAAAATCGAGTTCGATGGTATGCCTGCTCCAGGACCGATCCGGTATACTTCTCCATTGGCGTTTCTAAGAGATGGAGTCTCCTAGCTACTTCGTAAAGGAGCAATCTGCCAAATCTCTTGCTCCACGGCTTCTACTTGAGATATTTTACTGTCCTGAAGCGGGATGGTGGTCTATGCCCTATACTCGACCTACAGGGCGTCAATACATTTATTAAAACTAAAAAGTTTCGGATGACCACCCTTCAAAATATCCTCCTATTGTTCAAGAGAGAAGATTGGTTCATCTCTTAAAGGATGCTTATTTCCATATCAGCATCCATCCATCTCACAGGCGGCTTCTCCGCTTCACTGTCGGCTCCGATATCTTTGAATATAATGTTCTCCCTTTTGGACTAGCTACAGCTCCACATGTTTTCATGAAATGCATGGCGCCTGTTTGCACCCACCTCCGGTTACTCGGTGTCCAAATCCCCTACCTAGACTATTGGCTTATGGTCTCCCTGTCCCAAGAACATCTACTCTCAGCCATCGATACCACATGAAGACTGTTAGATGAACTCGGACTCTGTATTAACACTGAGAAATCCTGTATTAACACTGAGGAATCAGATACCCTCAGCAGGAAAATGTCCTCAACCCACGAGTGGGAGCTGGACAAGCAGATCTGCAACAACCTTTTTCTTTGCTGGGGCACCCCATCCATTGACCTGTTTGTCACAGCGGCCAATTTGAAGTGTGAGAATTATTGCTCCCGGGCAGGCATGGGCCCGAACTCGCTGGAGGACAGCCTGATGGTGAGTTGGTTGAACATGTTCCCCTACACATTCCCTCCGATCCCGCTAATCACAAAGACCCTAGAAAAAGTTGTCCATGACAAAGCCCAGGACATTCTTGTTACACCATGGTGGTCGCACCAGCCCTGGTTCCCAGCCGTCCTCAGTCTCTCCCACGGAACCTTCGTCCGTCTACCATGGGTCCCTCACCTGATCACGCAGGAGAAGGGGGCAATCCGCCATCCCGATCTCAACTCAATCTCACCACGTGGCTGCTTCAATAGGGAACTCCTTGTTCCGCGACTTCGGCCCCAACAAACTCATCGATCCCAATGACTCTGACACATCCCTCAGTACCGGGACAGCCAACAGTACTGACAGAGTCCCCACTAACCGTGTCGAACCCAAATCCTCTCCAGTTGGACTTCGATTTTATCCTACAATCCGCTCTATGACCAGCCACCTGCCGATTGTGTGAGGCTAAATGGAAACGTTTCACTGCCTTCGCAGCGACCAACCAGTTCCCTCCTCATTTGGCCTCCATTGGTAATATTTTACTTTCCCTGCTCTGCTTATATCGGTAGGGGCGTAAGCCCACTTCAATTAAAGTGTATATCGCGGCGATTTCTCATTTTCGTGGCCTGCTATCCGGCTCCTCTGTCTTCTCTCATGTCCTCATCTGTCGCTTCCTGAAGGGACTACAGAATCTCCAGCCTCCAGTTCGCCCCACGGTACTGACATGGAGCCTATCTGTCATATTGCAAGCTCTTACCAGAGCCCCCTTCGAGCCTCTAGTGACAACTGACCTACACCTGTTGTCATAGAAGACCGCTTTTCTTGTTGCCATCACCTCTGCCAGAAGGGCAAGTGAACTTTGCGCTCTTCGTGTCGACTTGCCCTACCTCAATTTTCATAAGAAAAAGGTAGTCCTTCACACTGACCCTGCGTTCCTGCCTAAGGTCGCTACACTTTTTCACGTCAATCAGGACATTATCCTTCCAGCCTTCTTCCCGGCTTCCTCGACACTGATAGAGAAGTCTCTCCACTCTCTGGATGTATGTCTATGCCTAGCTTTCTATCGTTCCTGTACAGAGAACTTCAGAAAGACTAAACACCTCTTCGTTAAGTACTCCAAACTGGACAAAGGCACTGCTATTTCCTCCCAAAGACTCTCCAGGTGAATCGTCCAAACCATTGAACTGGCATACCAATTGGCTAAGCTGGACCTCCCAAGGGCCATATCGCCATAGCTGTAGCTGCCTCCTCGGCTTTTTCCGTGGGCATCCCACTGCCAGACATCTGCAAGGCAGCAACATGGATGACTCCTTGCATGTTCACAAGACATTACAGACTTGAAGTACGTGCCAGACAGGAGTGCTCCTTTGGTTGTGCCGTCCTCTCCTCGATTCTCCAGTGATGACACCATCCCGCCTCCGGTTGGTAAGCTTGCTAGTCACCCATTATGTGTGATGCACAGAGACCACGAAGAAGAAAGGCAGGTTGCTTACCTGTAATTGTCGTTCTTTGAGTGGTCATATGTGCATTCACACAACCCACCCACTGGCCCCCTCAATGTAGGTGACTGGGGACTGGAGATTCTTTCCTCCTTCTTAGTGACTACAGCATATATGCAGGTGCCAACCGCCAGGTCAGCCCCTTCTCTTACTGGTGGCATCCTGCGCTATCTGCTCTTTCCACCAGAGGGCGATCAGACAGTCTCCATAGACTGGGGGAAATGGCGGGCACTCTGCCCTTTATAGCACTGTGGGGGAGGGGTGCAGAGTTCCCACCAAAATCTATTAAAGCTTTTGTATTCTACCTGGCTACAGGCACTGCGCAGGCGCAGCACCCATTATGTGTGAATGCACAGATGACCACTCGAAGAACAACAATTTCAGGTAAGCAACCTGTCTTTCTTTGGGAGTTACTGGCTGTCCATGTGTTCTGTAACTAAGTTTTTTCTTTGCTCTTCTACCCCCAGGAAGTACTTGCGGGATGCAGATCGTCAAGTTCTTGCCCAACACGCCTTCATTCTCACAGTGATGGTTCTGGAGGACATGCTGAAAGAGCTCACAGAGGTTAGATTGCTGCATTTCTGTTAGGATCATGTGGGGTTTCCATCCTGATTTAAGTGGACCAATTATGTTCTTGCTTTAAAGGTCTCTGAAGAGCAAGACTCCAAGTACAGCAGCCTTTTGGGGGTAAGAATGACCACTGATGTCTCAAATAAAGTTAGCTCTGAAGAAGGACAAGAAGCCCTCCCCAAAAGGACAGCTTTGTCACATGGGACAGTCAAGGAAGTGACCCAGGGGAAGCCTCCCAGGGCCATGGACCCCGGGACAGAGCCACAGGAGGCAGCACCTCACCAAGAAGCCACAGAGAGCCCTTGGCCAAGCTCAGCTGAGCCCATGGACTTTGATGAATATTCCAGTGGCCCAGGAAAGCCAGAGGCAGCCCTGGGGCTCCCTGGCAGGATTTGCAGGGACAAAGGCCCCGAGGGCCGAACTTCAGAGCTTTCTTTAGAGGATCTCAGCATCAGCTCCAAGCATCAGCAGCTGGACATAGTGAAAGCCCGAGTCCAAGCATCTTCAGCAGAGGAAATCGAGCAGAGAGCAAACAGGAAGAGGAAGCTGATAAATGATACTGAGTCAGGAAAGACTCTGCTTTTGGATGCTTACCGTGTGTGGCAACAGGGTCAGAAAGTCATGACTTACGACCTGGCCAAGATTGAGAAAATCATGTCTGAGACATACATGCTAATTAAGCAAGTAAGCAACATCTGAATACATTTTTTCTTGCAATGTTACGTCAAACAAAAAGACAATTTATTGATTGTTCCCCTTTTGGAATGATTGTTTCAAAAATCAAGGCTGTCTCATGCATGAAACAGCAATAAAAGTGGGATATTAATCCGTGTTGCTGTGTTTGTGGATTACAGACCCTAAGATACTTGATTAATTTCAGAATTCTTTGTGGTCCCCGAGTGGGTTTATTCTTGAAAGACAAAAGCTAAGCAAGGCCCCTTTCCTGCCCTTATCTGTGTGTGTTTGCTGCACGTAAAGTATGCGCACATAATTCCACCTAGAGTATCAGTAAATGTCCCTGTTGGTAGTTTCTTTTGGATACATTTTGTCCCTTAAATTTTGCAACAAAATGGACAATTTATTTAGCTCAGAACATTTCCAACCCATGTTTTGGTCTCCAAGGTGGCTTTCAGTTTAAAAGCAGAAGGAAGGGGGGAAAATAAGCATTTCTGGACAAGTAACTAGCTACGGTGGGTTGCTATGTTGTGTGAACCTTGACTGCTTCCTGCAGGATGGCTTGTTTTTCAGCAACAAGCCACTGTGGCAACCCATAGCTTGTTAAAGGGGCTGCTGGACCCACAAGGGGTTGCTGTCTCATCCGAACCTGGATGACCAGCTGCATCATATTCTGTGAAAAGTGGCAAGTGACCCACTGAACGAGAGCAGAAAAAATTTGCTGAACTTGTCCAGGGGCCTGCTGGTAACAGCCACCCTCATCTTTTGAAATGGGAGCCTAAAAATGCATGCAATTTATTCATATTTTTATTTTATATTATTATTTTGGCCTTCCAGAGGGTGTATAGGTGACCAAAATGAAAAATCTTGCCTGCAATAGCTGCCTGCTGTCAGAGTGCAAGTACCATCCATGAACATTGCCCAAGTGTTGCTTCTCACTTGAGGATTTTACACAGGACTTTCTGAAAAATGCTTTTTAAAAGAAACCTTTTATTTTGACAGCTGATAAAAGAAATTGATCCCATAAATGGTGACAGCAGTGGGGGGAAATGCACTGATGGTCTCAGGAATCTTGCTCAAAGTGATGTACCCACTTCTTCCCTTTCATAGCACTGTTGGTAGCTCACTGTTTGACAAGCAATATACCAAAAGAATCTGTTTGCAGCTTTGTTTGGTTGTTTATCCATTGCTGGTTCCTGCTGTACGTTAACAGCAGAGTCTTACCATGACATTGGGCAGGCACGGGTTTTCTTTTTGGTCATCCTCAAGGACACTTCTCTGAAAGACTGCAAATACCATGTTTTTAAAAGATTACAAAAATGTTTGTGCACATTTCTGGTGTCTAAACAAGAAAGAAAAACACAGGAAAAGGAAAAGTGTGGAGGAAACAAAGACATAATGGCAACCAAAATGGGCTTACAAGCAGTCGATGGGGGAGGCAAGTCCCCTGGAATGCCTGCCCAGAGGAGCAAAGGGGAAGGAGTGGCAGGACAACCCTCAATGAACAGACGCACAATTTCGGCACACCATGGGACGTTCCATAAACAACTCATGGCATCACTTCTATGCAGCATCCATTGCCACCATTTACAGGGTGATGGCCAATGAAACCAGTCTTCTAAAACTGTTCTAAATGACTCATTCACTGTAACTTGTAATGAACTTGGCAAATATCATGCAAATCTATCGAAAACCCATATCTTTTGGATAATGGAGTCTTTCTGGGGCTGTTTTTATTGTGTGTTTCATTTTTACAGGTGGATGAAGGTGCAGCCCTAGAACAGGCAGTCAAGTTCTGCCAGGTACATATTGGAGCCTCTGCTCAAAAGCAAGTAAGTTAGAAGTATACCAGTATCTTGGATTTTGACTATTTAACTACATTTAATTTACTTATTAAATTCATATCCTGCCCTTTTTTTCTTTCAAGGAGCAAAAATCTCCAATAGGAGAATGCTGTTGGAATCACCCATAGCAATTTGCTGTGCTCCTTCCACATCACCTTATTACTATTATCTTATGCTCATCTTTGCTGCTCTTGACATGGGCTTGTGCTGTTCTTCCTTTACTAGAAGAGAGAGTAGTACTGTGTTTTGAAAACTGCCTGTAGACCATCCTCCCTGTCCAAGAACCAAGCCTTTCATGATGCCCCTGGAACCCTGCTTCCCTCTTCTGTTTTTGCATCCCCCTACTTGGTTCTTATTGGTTACTTTCAGAACCCAGTCTCAAAGACCATAGGAAGGATTCTTCCTATCTGAGGCTTGCCTGGTCACAACTTTATTTTATGTATTGAACTTGTATGCACCCTTGCTTTCCTGCAAGGAATCCAAGGTGACTTACATGGTCCTCCTTTTTCTCTCCATTTGTATTCTCATGGTAACCCTGTCAGGTAGGTTAGGCTGAGAGTCAGTGAACTACATGGCCAAGAAGGGACTAGAATTCAGAACTTCCAGGACAGCATTCTGACAGCTACACCACACTGCTTCTGTCTTGAAATAGTTCTAATCCAAGACAGTGTGCCTGAAAAAAAGCCATTCTCAAGGTCTAGCCTTGAGTGTTTATGCTTCAATCATAAAATATTGCCTTGTGGATGATTTCTTGGTCTTTACACTAACAACCCTGAAGCTAACTGTTCTTCAAGTAAAACTTATAATTGTAGAGAAACAGCTGATACCATAGCAACATCAAACCAAGAGAGTGGGTGAGAGAGAGTGCATCATATACATACAGTCTGGAAAGAGCTTGTTGTTTGCATTGGTCCTCTGTCCATCTCTTGCCCCCCATTTTGATGTATTCTCAGAATTGTCTCCAAATTGGTGACATCTTGGTGTGCAGGAATGCAAGAAAACCAAGTAGACAAAAAACAGCATTGTGTGGGAGGGACAAAGCTAGCAGTTGTTTGTTAATGATATATTTATCATTTTGTTTCTTTAGTTGTCTTTTCTAATTGCTCCCTCAGAGCTAGTATGTCATAAGAACAAAGAACATGTGTAATATGGATCAGATGTCTCTGGAGGTTCCATGTGTGGGAGGATGGCTTCTTCATCCTGGGCCCCAATCTCCAGTATGGAGCTAACTCTGATACCTCTGAATATCTTCCCTCTTAAATACTTTTATTGACCTTTTCTTAGAGGCTGTATGGGTAACATTAGAAAATATTTGTAGCCTCCAGTTTTGACTCAGATCCTGACTCAGTGGTTTGGAAATTGGCCTGATTTTTGTTCAGATCATTCTGCATAGAAACAGAGTGAGTTAGAGGGGGCTTCCCAGGCCATCTAGTCAGCTCCCAGCTCTAGCTGGCTCCGCTCACGACATGCCTACCATGTGCATGTCTAGCCTATCTTTGAACATCCTCACCGATGGGGCTTCAACAATCTATCGTGGAAGCCCATTCCATACCCTCAGGGTCCTAACTGTCAGGAAGTACTTCTTGGCATCCAAATTGAACCTTGGTTCCCTAAGCTTTGCTCTGTTAGAGCACGTCCTGCCCTGCAGAGAACAGGTCTCTACCCACCTCTGTGTGACACCCCCTCACATACCTATATGTCACCAACATATCCCCTCTGAGTCTTCTCCAGGCTGAAAAGAATCAGTTCCCTCAGTCTCGCCTCATATGGCTTCCCCTGCAATCCGGCCACCATTCTTGTGGCCCTACACTGCACTGACTCTAACCTGGCTATATCCTTCCTGTAATGAGGGGCCCAGAACTGAACACAATACTCCAGTTGTGGGCGCACCAAAGTCATATAAAGTAAATAACTCTCTCAAGCAAAGAATTTAAAAAATCATAGTTATTGGCATCTATTACTGACCATCCAAGCAAAAAGAGGACAAGGATGTAACTCTCAAAAAACAAGTTGCCGGCATTTCGAAGAATGATGTAATCATCATTGAGGACTCCAGTTTCTCTGATATATGCTGGGGGATAATTTCTGTCAAACATGGCCCCTCTAAGAGATTCCTGAATTGAGTTGCCAACAACTTCCTCCAGGAGAATGTAGAGGAAGGAACAAGAAGAAGGAGTCATGTTAATAGTAAGAGGGATGACCTAGTTGACAAAATAGCAGCCATAGGAATCCTGGACCATGCAATACTTGAATTCTCAATTATAAAGGGGACAAAGGTTTGTTGTTGTTAGTCGCGAAGTCGTGTCCAACCCATCGCGACCCCATGGACAACATTCCTCCAGGCCTTCCTGTCCTCCACCATCCCCCAGAGTCCACTCAAGCTCACACCAGCTGCTTCAGTGACTCCATCCAGCCACCTCATCCTCTGCCGTCCCCTTCTTTTGCCATCTATTGTTCCCAGCATTAGACTCTTCTCCAGGGAGTCCTTCCTTCTCCTTAGGTGGCCAAAGTATTTGAGTTTCATCTTCAGGATCTGGCCTTCTAAAGAGCAGTCAGGGTTGATCTCCTCTAGGACTGACTGATTTGATCGCCTTGCGGTCCAAGGGACTCGCAGGAGTCTCTGCCAGCACCACAATTCAAAGGCCTCAATCCTTTGGCGCTCAATCCTTCCTTATGGTCCTTATGGTCCTTTCTCCTTAAGGGACAAAGGTTAACTGTAGACAAAAACCCTGGACTTCAAGAAAGCCAACTTTGATGAACTCAGCACAATGATAAACAAGTTGGGGATGGGAAACCTTGAAAAAGGAGATTCTCCAAGCACAACTGCAAACAATTCCAGCAAGATGAAAGTGTCAAAGACAACAGAGGAAGCCCATGTGTCTCCACAAAATGTTAAGTGAAAGCACACTATGGGAGTTATGAATTTTGGTGATGACTTTTGGAGTCTCTGGGGCAGCTGCCATGCTTATCCGATTTATGAATGAGATTTTTCAGGAGTTCCTGGATTACTTCTTAATTGTGTATTTAGATGACTTACATCAACATTTGAGAGAAAACAATCAGCCAACCTTGAAAAATGTAATTGCACCTCACTACACTTTTGGATACCTGATTCCCACCAAAGGATTAAAAATAGACCCAACCATAGTGCAGGTGGTTTTAGCCTATGGAATTCCCTGCATGAAGCATGAGTTACAGTGTTTTCTCAGCTTTCCTAACTTGTATTGCAATTTTATTCCTAATTACTCTCAACTCTCTACCCCAGTAACCAATTTACTCAAAGGTGAAGAGAGACGGATCTCCAGATCTCCTGTGACAAAGGCTGCTTTGAAACAACTTTGCTTCTGAAAATCTCCTCCTTCATCAGACTTCCCTTTTTTTATTCATACTGATGCCTCAAACAGAGCCCTTGGATCAGTTCTCCTACAAAAGGAAGCAGGTCATGGGGCAGTACAACCATGCACTTTTCGCTCCTGCAAATTAACCCCTTCAGAACAAAACTGCACTTGAGAAAAAGAACATTAGCCACTAAATGCTTCAGAAAAATGTTGGCTTTTACTGAAGGGGGGCGCTGATTCACACAGACCATACAAACCTCAAACACTTCCAAATGGTTAGATCAACAATAAGCAAGATGGACTTGGTTCTTTGCCTGCTTTCTTTTCAAGATTGCCTACATCCTTCTGCCCAAAATCTGCTAGCTGATGTTTTCTTCTGTAAACTGGAGTATCTTGAAGTTCCTTCCCCAGAAGCCATGGCTTTTGCCATACCCAGCAGTTCCTGGATGGACAGAATCCACCATGCTCAGCAAGGTGACCCCTTCATGCTAGCCAGATTTGAAGGATCAGCAGAGCTCACCAGCTCCTACCTGGTAGCTAGCCAAGGGGGATGCATTAACAGAAGTATTACTTCCAAATCATGAAAAGTAGTAGTTCCTCTACTTGGACATTACAAAGCCACCAGGCCCTGACAGGTTACACCCAAGAGTTGACAGGGGTTCTCTCACACCCACTGACCTCCATTTTTGAGGCCTCATGGAGAACGGGTGAAGTTCCAGAGGACTGGAGGGTGGCGTCAGTGGTCCCAATTTTCAAAAAGGGTAGTAGAAGGGACATGGGGAATTACAGACCTGTTAGCCTTACGTCCATTGTAGGAAAAACAATGGAAAGGCTCATAATAGAGAGAGATCTAGTGATGCTAGATAGGGAAGGGAGGCTGACAGCCGCACAACACGGCTTCTGCAAAAACAAGTCCTGCCAGACAAACCTTGTGGAATTCTACCACAAGGTTTCGAGACGTCTAGATGGAGGGGATGCAGTGGATGTGGTTTACTTGGATTTCAGCAAGGCCTTTGACAAAGTGCCCCATGATATCCTGGTTGAGAAACAGGAGTTTTGGGATACACAAAAGCACTGTCAGGTGGATTAGGGCATGATTGACAGATCGAAAGCAGAGGGTAACCATTAGTGGGGAATCATCAGGATGGTGGCCAGTGACCGATCCTGTTTAATCTTTTCATAAATAACATGGAAGAAGGGGTGAACAGTCTGCTGATCAAATTCGCAGGCAATACTAAAGCTGGAGCAGTGGCCAATACTAAAACTGAGGAGCAGGTACTCCAGATCAAAAAGGATCTGGACAGACTATGGAAGTTGGCAGGAGACAACAGGATGGCGTTCAATGTGGATAAGCGCAAGGTCTTGCACTTGGGGCATAGGAATGGGTGTCATAAGAACAGGTTAGGGGACATGTGGCTGGAGAGCAGCACATGTGAAAGGGACCTCGGGGTGCTGGTTGACTGCAGGCTAAACATGATTCAGCAGTGGCATTTACCCTCTTGACCACCATGTCAGATTGCTGGCTTTGAAGCCTTCTACACTACAAAATGGAAAGCCTTCTCTTCCTTCACTCTGAGGGAAGGTTTCAATTCATATTGGTGCACGATTCAGCAAGTCCGCCTTTTTCTTGCATGAACTGTTTCAGCAGGACGTGAAAACATCTTATATCTATATTTACTTGACAGCAATCTTTGTCAGTTTTCTAACATCTTTTGTTTCAACATTTTTTTCAAGAACTCAAGAACATCACTACACCAGCTTGTTCTTTAACACCAAACTGGTGTCTTTCCATTGTCTTGCAAGCTCATATGAAAAAACAATTCAGACCCATGGCAACAATTGCTCTTTACCTCCTCTCTTAGAAGGCTGCTTTCTTGGTAGTGATTATCTCAATATGCCATTGCTGTGAATTGCATGGTGTCAGGGTGGATTCTCCATATCTAATCTTCCACAGAGACAAAGTAGTGCTGTGCCCAGACTCTTCTTTCCTTCCAGAGGTCATATCATCTTTTCATTTAAATCAGAATATTGTCTTAGCAGCTTTTTTCCCTTCCTCATTGAATCTGATGGAATCAGCCCTTCATATATGGTATGTGCTGGCATTTGATCAATCCAGAACTGAGTCTTTCCACCAGTCTCAGAATTTTTTTTTTTTTTTTTTTTTTTTTTCACTGTGACTGTTTCAGGAGGGGGGTGCCGGCTAAAGCTGCCTCTTCCTTGATTTTCCATGAAGAGCAACACAAGAAGGATGGTGCACTCACCGGGCCTTTATTGACTCTTTACACTTTCACCGGCTCACTTCCCGTAGCGCCTTGGCCTTGCCTGCTCTGGCTCCCCTCCTGTCGCTATGGCAACGAACGGCGTCGCCTCCCCCTGCCGGAACACTCCCCAGTCTCCACTCTCCGTTTGTGCCAGTGACCGCCTTGCCCACTCTCCTCCAACCACACGTGTGTCTCAGCTTTCTCTCCTCTCTTCCATCTCCCTTTGCTCACCCCCTCTCTCTTCCTTTATCCACCCTCCTGCACCACTCTACCCAACCCTACCCAATCCTGCCTCCATCTGCAATCCCGAACAGCTGTGCGCTCACAGGCGTCTCCTGGATATTGTCTTCTCGTGAGTTGCTCTCCCCACACAGATTCCCAGCCTTGCCCTGTTATCTTCAGCCGTGCTCTGTGGAAGGCCCCAGGAAAAGGGGTGAGCCCTCCTGCCTCCTCACAAGCACCAAGAATAAAGGACTTCCCATCACCTCCAGACTAGGTGATGTGACAATCTACTCAGCCTATGAACTTGTCAGTCTGCAGCTCTCAGGCCCACTGAAAGCCCACTGCTCTACATGCAAGGAATTCCTCTACTAGACCTTGTAAAGCAGCCATTTGGTCCACTCCATAGACATTAATAAGGCACTAAAGATTCAATGTCTGTGCAAGAGCAGATAGTGCCTTTGGGAGAGCAGTCACTTCATCAGGCCTTCACCAGTCCACCATCCAAGAAGAACCTTTCTTAAGTATACCAACACCAGGGTGGGGAGAGGTTCCCGCCAAAACACTTTTAGCTATATAATCTTGATATCAGGTTCCATGTGAATGCACAGATGCCCACTCAAAGAACAAGTGACAGGTAAGTGGCCAGCCTATTTGGAGGCTGCCTGCAAGAACTTGATTACTGAACCAAGTCAAGATTCAGAGACTTCAAGGACTTCCATTGGGAATTAAAAAATGGGTATAGCTGGAAAAAATCTCTCAGATTTGGCTAATATTTGCAGGCATTGTAGGACCTTAGTAGAGGAACACACCAGCCAGATACCTGAAAAATAGGTGCAGATATTTTGTGCTACGTTTTTGTTTTTGTACTTTATGCTTTATGCCATTTTTTTTGGAGGGGGGAGTGGCCCTAACTTAATAACATGTGCTTTGGATAGTTGATTGTGAGAATTCCGATCATTCTAATTTAGCAGCTCCTTGTGAGTTGATTTACTTGGCAAGTTGATTTACTTATGTTGAAGGGGGCAGTGTATGCAGCTTTTTAATAAAAGGCCTATTTAATACAGGCATTGTAGATGTGATTGAGGTCCTGATCTTTGGCACAACTGAATTCACGTGAAGCTACTTACAGAAAATTTGTGGAGGTCTAAAGTAGCCATCTCAGTTTGGACCTGTTGCGATTAATCTGGAGATGCCCTGGTAGATAATGCATTTTCCTCTTATGCAAAGCTTTGGTCACAGCATTTGCTGCTCTAAGCACATATAAGGGATGTACTTCCTGCTTACAGCATTTGCTTTGTTTTCGTTATAGTCTGCAGGAGAAGCCCCAACCACTCCAAAGTATCCTAGGGACGGCAAGGAGAGCTTCTTCACAGCTGGTCCGCCATCTTTGACCCCTCATGCAGAGACTGCTGACTGTGTGGCTTCAGATACCCTTCTGAGACTGACAGACCTGCATGCTAAATCCAAGACAGCCTCTCCCACTGCATCCTCCTGTGCAAGTGTGCTCCTGTTGCCACCACAGGTGCAAACAGAGGAGGTGGAACACATCAAAGTGGAGGTGTCCACCATGTCCAGTCTTGCACATGGTAAGCAATGTCTACATAAAGAATCTTTGAGCTAAACTTAATGTTTTGCAGAAAGTACAGATGGAATATTCCAATCCCAGGCTCATTTTTTAATGAGCAGATTGACTTGGAGAGCTGTTTTCTCTGTCAGGGGCTTCTACTTTTGGCTGCAAGCTTCATAAGAACATAGTGTGTTCTTGATTTTGTAGACGTAAGCATTGCCTGAAACAATTCAACTTCTGTGCATATGTGGAGGCACCATTCTGCATGCTAGTTTTGAAATATATGTAGTCCCAAGGTTAAGAACAAGTTCCATCCCTGAGACCATCCTTAAGTCAAATTTCTGGGTAAGTCAGATCATATTAGTAAGCCAAATGTGTATATATTTTACCTTTTTATGTATTAAAATACTTAAGAAACACTTCCATATTCAGTAAAACATCTTAAACACAATATAGCATTGTAATAATGATAACAGTACAGGAATAATACAATAACTACAGAGAGACACAGGTGGTGCAGCTGGTTAAACCATTTTGCTGCTGGGCAGCACAGTTGGAAGGTCAGCAGTTCAAACCCATGCAACAGGGTGAGCTCCCCTCGCTGCTTTGTCCCAGCTCTGCCTACCTAGCAATTCGAAAGCATGCAAATGTGAGTAGATGAACAGGTGCCACTTTGGTGGGAAAGGTAACGGCGTTTTGTGTGCCTTGGCATTTAGTCATGCCAGCCACATGACCACTGAAGCATCTTCAGACAATTCTGGCTCTTCGTCTTACAAATGGAGATGAGCACTGGCCCCAGAGTCAGACACAACTAGCACACATGTGCAGGGAAACTTTTACCTTTTAGTGAAGAGAGAGAGAGAATCTGTATGTATATGATTGAAAAAATTGTCATAACTTACCTCTTATGCCTGGCTTAATGTATGTTTGAACTGCATTGTCTGTCCATCTTTAATTTTAACGTAAGCCCAATAGAAAGTAACTTGGATCTTTAAAAGTGACTTACCAGACCCTCATTATCTTCTAAAGTTTTCTGAAAATGGTGTTCCAAGGCAATGTAGTCTAGTGTCTGCATTCAAAACACTTTAACCCATAACAAATTAGTCTCAGTGGGTCCATGTACAGGGCTGAGCATTTGTTGAACTTCCAGTTCCTGATGGAACATAAGACTTATGTAGAAGAGAGGGTAACACCTTCTGGGGTGTTGAAGAGCACCTTGGAGAAGGTGAAAACATTTGGTCTAAGAAAATGGGTTTCTGTGACTATCTCTAAGGAACTACATGGCCACTGATGATGTGTCACAAAACACATTGCATAGTTCTCTAGAAATACTCATGTTTTTTTCATGAGACATGTTTATAGAGGCTTTATGGCAGTCCCTGGATTCATAAATATGGGTGGTTTGTAACCCAGATGTTTGTACTCTGGGGACTATCTGTAATTGTTGCAGGGATGGAGATGGATAATATTTACAGTTTGGCACAAAATACCATGAGATTGCCAGTCATCATGATGCATGCCAGTTGCCAGGGAGGACAAGCACGAAGATACTTTTGCCCTCCTTTCCTCTTGTGTTTGTGGACTTGACCACTGTGTGAACAGAATGCTGGACTTGATGGGCCATTAGTTGGATCCAGAGACAGCTTTTTATTATGTTTTATTATGTTTTCATTATAAAACTAAATTGATTTAACATGTGGGAAGGCCCTGGAATTTTCTAAGTGCTGTACACTTGCTGAAAGGTGAAACAATGCCTACCTACAGGCTTACACTCAAACAGAAGCAAAAGGAGAAAAGCAAGTGTGGGAGCATCAGCCAGTGGAGTTATTTCTGGCAAGCAAAGGGTGCAGCCTCCCAGTGTTCATTGGTCTGCTGAACAGGAGAGGGCAAAGCATGTCCATCTTCAACTCTGCAATCCTAGGGCAACTGGTAGTTTAAGGAGGACAAATGAGCAATTCGAAGTATGGAGGATTCTACAGGTGCCACAATGCATGAATCAAAATTGATTTAGGCATGATGAAACTAATGTTTTGTCCAAGTTCTGCTTTCTGCAAATGTCAGAATCAGGTCTAAAGTGGTATGTTGGAAAATGAATGTGCTTGATGTTCTACAGGGGTCCTGGTCCTGGTCCTGGTCCTGGTCCTGGTCCATCTGCAGTGCAGACTTCTTGTAGTTGGTTCTTGGAAGTCTAGGGTGAATTGTAGAATTAGGCACTGTACTGGACAGGCCCGCCATCACTCACTCAAGAAGTGCTAAGAGTGATGCAGGTCATGTCAGATACAGATTCGAAAGGATGTGTCCAAGAGAAGCTGCTTGAGTTCAGGTGGAACCTGGAGTTTGAATAGCAAATCCTTAGCCAGAGTTCTTGTGAGTGGACAACAGATAGATTCAAGGACCAGGATTCCAGGGAGGGTTTATGAAAGTTTCCACCTGCTTGGAAGATCCAGTTCTTAGTTGTGGTCTCTGTGCTTCAAATATATGGACTTTGCTGCACAGCGCAAACCTAGATTGGAAGAAACTTCTATAACTCAGTGTCATGGAGTGGGTGGGAGCCCCCTCATTTCAGGTTCCCAGCCTGCTCATGCCAGCCACACCCCTCAACAAAGCCTCCCCATTGAAGTCCAGGCCCAATTCAAGGTGTTGGTTATCACCTATAAAGCCCTTAACGGCTTGGGTCCTGGTCACCTAAAGGAGCGCTTACGTCCATATGTGCCCTCCCGCCCCTTGAGATTGGCGGCAGAGGCCCTTCTCCGGGAGCCCTCCATGAAGGACATTAGGAGGGTGAGTACCCGGAGGAGGGCTTTCTCTGCGGTGGCGCCCCACTTATGGAATGTCCTCCCCAGAGAGGTCCGCCTGGCGCCGTCGTTATTTGCTTTTCGGCGCCAGGCCAAGACCTTTTTATTTAAACGACATTTTAATTGTTGTTTATTTATTGATTTTAACAACTTTGGCCAGGATGTCTCCAATTGTGTTTTATTGTATTAATGATATTTATTTATTTGTAAGCCGCCCCGAGGCTTAGGCGAATGGGATGGCATATAAGTCCGCTAAATAAATAAATAAGAGCAAGCTGCCCTAACTGGTCTACACCTCTGGGATATAAGAAGTGAGCAACCAGGGAGAGCAAACAGGAGGTCAAGGGAGAGGTCCCTAACATTGTTTCCCACTTTGTTTCTCTTCTTTATTTCACATTAATCCCCCCTTGCACTCTGTGGCACAAACCATGCACCAAGGACACTCCACAGTGGTGGCCTGCAACACCTGCAACTGCCTCACACTCTAGTATCCCTGTCACAGGAAAAGGTGAGAGCACTGGAGCAGTGAGTGTCCACCTTCCAGACAATAAAAGAAAACAAAGTTTCTAGACTAGAACTCTACAATTGATGGATACAAGCTGTTTAAGAAAAATAGAAAGGACAAAAAAGGTAGCATTGCACTGTATGCAAGAGACACATATTTCTGTGCAGGTGCACAGAAATACAAGAAGAGGAACTTAGTAGCTCCATTGAAAGCATCTGGCTAAATTTAAAGGGTGCAAAAAAAGCATTGTTATTGGCATATATTACCATCAACCCAGTCAAAAAGAGGACGAGGATGCAAGGTTGCTTTAAAAAGCAACTTGCCAGCATTTCCAAGAATGATGTATTCATCATAGGGAACTTCAATTTCCCTGTTATACACTGGAAGACAAATTCTGCCAAGCATGGCCCCTCCAAGAGATTTCTGATGTGTTGCCAACAACTTTTTCCAGCAGAAAGTAAAGGAAGGTATGAGAGGATCAGCTGCCCTTGATTTAATACTAACTAGAATGGCCTAGTAGACAAAATAGCAGCCAAAAGAACTCTGGGGGAAAGTGATAATGCGATACATGAATTCTCAATTTTAAGGGAGACAAAGGGTAACTGGAGCCAAACAAGCATCCTGGACTTCAGGAAAGCCAACTTTAATAAACTCAAAAAAATGAAAAGCAAAGTGCCATGGCAACATACACGTAAGGGGAAATGCGCTCAAGAAAGGTGAATCTTGCAAAAGAAGATTCTCCAAGCACAACTACGAACAATTCCATCAAGAAAATAGTGTAAAAGACAGCAGAGGGAGCCCACATGGCTCCACAAAAAGTTAAGTGACTGTCTGAAAGCAAAAAAGAACATGTACAGGAAGTGGAAGCAGGCAGGCCGTGAAGGAAGAATATAAACAAATAGCAAGGAATTGCATCAGGAATGGTAAAGCAGGAAATGAACTGAGAATAGCAAGGGATGCTGAGAACAACAAGAAAGCCTTCTTGGGATACATCCAGAACAAAAGACATGAGAAAAAGAATGGTGTCCAGCTACTTAAAGTGAATAGCACAGTGCTAACAGACAACAAAGAAAAGGCTGAGGCATTCAATTCCTACTTTGCCTCAGTATTCTCCCACAAGGAAGTCTGCAATCAAGAGGAAGTACAAGCTGGAGGTAAGAGATGGCAGCCCCAAGATTGACAGACAAATGGTCAAGGAATAGAAACATAGAAACAGAGTGAGTCAGAAGGGGTCTCCCTGGCTGTCTAGTCTGACCCCCGGCTCTAGCTGGCTCCGCTCACGACAGGCCTAGAAAGAATAAACACATTCAAATCTCCAGGACCCAATACACTCCATCCCAGAGTCATAAAAGAGCTAATGGAGGAACTCTCAGACTTCCTTTAAATAAGATAAAGGAATTAAAGATAAATTCAGAATTTATCTTTGATAAATCTTGGAAAACAGGGGAAATGCCAGACAACTGGAGAAGGGCTAATGTTGTCCCTATCTTCAGAAAAGAGAAAAAGATGAACTTGTGAACTATAGACCAGTTAGTATGACATCAGTCCCTGGAAAAATTCTGGAGCAAATTATTAAAAAATCATGCTGCAAGCATCTTGAAGAAAATGCAGTGCTTAATAGAAGCCAGCATAGATTTATCAAAGATAAATCCTGTCAGACTAATTTAATCTCATTTTTTGACTGGGTAACCTCCCAAATGGACAGAGGGAACACTGTGG